GTTGGGTGCACTAGTGTTTGGTGCATACATATTTATGATTGTCATCTCTTCCTCATGGATTTTTTCCCTTTCCTTTTTCCTCTTAATCAGTGTTGGTTTGAAATCCACTTGATTCTGCAAAGAAGATAGCTACTCCTGCTTTTTTTTTGGTGGTGGTGGTGGAGTATTGCGTTCCACCCTTTAACTTTCAGTCTATGAGTTTCTTTTTGAATTTAGTGTGTTTCTTATAGGTAGCAAATTGGTGGATGTTGCTTCTTGGTCCATTCTGCCAGTCTATTTCTTTTGATTGGTGAATTGAGCCATTGATGGCTACAACTGATATGTATTGACTTATCCTTGTCATGACTTTTTCTTTTTGTTGGATTCTCCCCCTTTGCATTTAATTTCTTGTCATGCCTGATAGATTCATTCTGATGGGCTTCCTGGGGTTGTGATCCTCATTTTCTTTTCCTAGGATATTGTCTACATATTTTTGGAGTGCTGGTTTGGTATTCATGAAGTTCCTTAGGTTCTCTTTGTCATGAAAGCATCTTATTTCTCCATCAATTTTGAAAGATAGTTTTGCAGGGTACATCAGTCTGGGTTGGAGGCTGTTTTCCTTCAGGGCTTGAAATATGTCACTCCTAGCTCTTCTTGCCTTGAGGGTTAGTGTTAAAAAGTCTGCTGTGATTCTGATGGTCTTTCCTTTGTATGTGATTTGTTTCTTTTCTCTAAGTGCTTATAGTTCTGTTGGGTTTCTGGAATCTTAACTATTATATGCCTATGTGTAGATTTTTAATCTTTTTGATCATGGCTAGTTGGAGCTCTATAGGCCTCACTTATCTGTATCTCAAGTTCTTTTCCCTGCATGGCAAGTTTTCTGTTATTACTTCTGTGAACAATTTTTTTTAATGTTGTTCGCTGTCTCTCCTGTTTCTTCATTGACTCCAATCAGTCTTATCTTATTCTTTTTTTTTATCTAGTAGTGCTGAAGTGATTTCTTGTGGTCCCTTACTATTTTTCAGTAATTTTTCTTTTCCTCATCACTAATTCTGCCTTCTATATCTGAAATTCTATCTTCATGTTGGCTCATTTTTCTGTGTAAACTTTCAGTGGAGTTCTTAATCTCCTGGAAATCTGTTTTCATCTGTTTTATAGATTCCATTTGATTCCTGTGTTGGGATTCATAATGTTCCTCAGATCCTCTATTTTTTTTTTTTATCTGTGTTGGCTCTAGATTTATTAGTCACATCTTTCACTATGAACACAACCTCTGTTGTTATCTGAGAAATTATTTCTGATTTTTTTCCCACATCCTCTTTCACTGCCAGGTCAGGGAATCCTGGCAGTTGAGTATCAGATTGTTTCATTTTGCTTCCTTTTGGTGTTACCTTAGGTGATCTGGAAGTTTGGTTTTGAGATTTGTTTATGTGTCTTCTCATTTCAACTGATGCAGCCTTCTGGGCTTTTGTTGAGGCAACTTTTTGCTCACTCAGTGGTCTTTAATTATCAGCAAGCCATGGAGTGGCCTTTTTTCTGTTGCTCACTACTGCACCCATTCCTGGGTTTAGAGTGGTGGCCTTCTGGATCCATGCATTTCCCTGTTGAATAGGCTGGGTTCTGATTGGGGTGTGTGCACACTTGGCATCTAGGCATGCCTCTGGCTAGGGCGTGCATTTCTATGTAGTTGTTGTCTGCTAGTGCCTGTGGCTGGGTGCTGAGCAACCCAAGCCCTGGTTTCTGGGAGGGATTCTGTCTAGGGTCTGCTCACACTTACCAATGGTATTTGGGCATGCCTCTGGCTGTTGCTTGTGCACCTGTGTACCTCTTCCCTGTGGGTCTTTGGCTGGGGCTTGTGGGCCCACGTGGCCAGGGTCAGGGCTGGGTCCTGACTGGAAGAGCCTGTATCTGTGCTTCTCTGGTCCATACCAACTTTTCACTGAGACCTGCCCGTATTTATCAATGGTATCAGAGCAGGCCTCGGGCAGTTGCTCTTGGGCCTCTGCAGCTTTTTTCCAGGCAGCTTTTTGGCTTGGGCTTGTGTGCCCAAGCAGGCAGGGTCCAGGCTGGGTCCTGGCTGGAAATGCCTGCAGCTGCACCTTTCTGGTCCACACCGGCCTAGAGTAGTCTTTAATCATCTTCTTTCTCTCAAATTCCCAGTGGCAGATTATTATACATGTGTTTACTTCTCCTCAGATTTTCTAGCAGGCCAAAGATACTCAGTGGTCTCCATTAATCAAAAAATGGCTAAGGAGCACTACCTCTGGGTGCCATGATCTTAATTCTATGTGATGTACAACCTTATACAGACTGTGAGCATAGTTTATTACTCCAAAGGAAAACATGTAAGCATACTTGGGCATCAGAACTTAGGACAGATAGTTATTTTATGTCAATGTTGACCTCACAGAGTACCATATGCTGGGCTGTTACAGCAACATCCAGAGTCATGTGATCTCTAGACCTCAAGCCCTGAACAGGATTTGAAGTGTGTGCCTGTTATCAGAATTACACACACAAAAACCAAAAGATATTTAACATATTTTAAAATCTAGTTATTTCATCTTCTATGAATTGTGTTTTAATATTTTCACTCATCTCACCCAGTGAAGTAAAGAAAATGGCCTGAAGAAATATTATCACTACCTTAAAAATTCTGAGATCTTGTTTCAAATGAACATTTCAAATTGCTTCATCAAATATTACTTTCTATTTTGACCTTTCAACTTTAAGCAAGTGCTCTACTACTGAGCTACATTCCTACCTCTCAAATTTCCTTCATCAAATATTTATTACATGTCAGATCCTGTTACTCAATACTTTCACATCATTGTCTGATAATCAGGGGTAGCAATTCCTCCTTAATTTTTTATTTTTTGATACCAGGGATTGAACTCGGGTCCTTGCATTTGCAAGGCAGGTGGAAGAACCACTGAGCTAAATCCCCAGCCCAGCAATTCCTGAAGATCTAATGGAGTTATAGTTGCAATGAGTCTATTTCAAACACTGGATTGGAAGATCCTCACTTATGTATGCATTTTTTTGTTTCATTGTTAGCTGTAGGTTATATTTAACGTGTAAAGATTTATATAGATTTTTAGGACTTTATTATCTGTATTTATGTCTTCATCTAAAATTTAACTATAAAAATAGTATTATGTTGGGGAGAGGTGTAAGAAAGAGCTTATGTAAATGTTTATTTAACATAACCCCAGCACTTGGGAGGCTGAGGCAGCAGAAGTGCCTGGGCTACATAATGAGTTCAAGGTCAGTCTGAACTACAAAGTGAGATCCTGTCTAAAAAAAAAAAAAAAAAAGGCCATTCATATTATTGTATCTTTACAAAATCCTAATCTAGAGAAAGCAAAATAAAATGTAGACTTATTCATCACACAAGTGTAATAATTATCATAATGTATATACAATGAATGTTTTAGTTGGGTCTAAGTATTTCCTGATACTGCACACTTGCTTTCCTAAGTGAAGAGCCACAAGATGTTGCCAAGTAAAATATAGCCTTTCATTTGTTGAATCAACAACAGAAAACTAAATAGAGCTGGAGGCATATGCATCCATCAGCTTAGAGCCCTGTCAAACACTGAAAAGTCTGAGGCATTGGTACGTAAATTAATGTTAGGCAATATGTGAGTTATTTCTTGGGAAAATAAGATCTCAAAACATTTCTTGGACATGTAAATTGTCTGGAAAATATTTGATGCTGCAGATGCAAATAGTGAAAGTGTGAGCCTTTTCAGTTAGTGGAAGGAGAAATTATTGCCTGGAGCTGTGTCTTTGCTGACATCTGGCTCTGGTGTCACGTAAGGCCCTCACAACACTGCGTCTCCAGAAGTACTCAACCATGATTAAAATCGAGAAGATAAGACTCACATTTTCATTTGAAAAGGATTGAAAACCCATTTTAGATGTATAAATGGTACTCATATATAACCATTTTATATCCAGAGATATTTTGCATTCACAGAGTATTTTTCCTCAGTTCTCTCCTACATCATTTAGAAGACAGGCAGCAACTGAAGGCACCCAGCTCCTCAATCTGTTCTTTCCAGAGCAAGAAACCTGAGAAGTACTTGTCCTTTATCAAACTAGATGTCACAACTGTCAATCATCGTGAAGGAAGATTGTTTTCTGGGGTTGCTCTAGCTGCTACAAATGCCCAAGCTTCTGGTATAAATGAGAATTGCTACATTAGAGTTTCAGTACTGTCGTCTTCCTGTAGGTATCTCATTTCAAATTGTTTCAAATTGTACTAAAAAGCAATTATTCTGAGACGCGGAGGCAAGTCCTTCCCATAAATTTTTGCTGCCCAGAACAACAGGTTCTTTTGTTTTGTTCTGTTCATCCCCCCACCCCAAATCTATGCATACTTCTTTCATTTTTCATGCTATTTAAAAAAACATTTTGGGGCCTACAAATTTCACAACTCAAGCTCAGTGTTGCCTTCAAAAGATAATGAGAGCTACCATTTACTGAGCAGCTATTTCTTCATTTGATGATTATAAGAAATCTGTGAAGTAGGGAATGCCTTTCTCATTTTGCAGACATGGAAATGGAGAAGTCATTTGTTTTGAATAAGTCCACAAAGTTAAGTATGAAATACATCCAGGATTTAGACCCTGGTCTGAATTCAAAGCTTATAAAATCTCTACAGCAAAAAACAAAACAAAAGATACACACCACCAAAACTTGAAATATAGAGGATACCAAATTCTGAGATATAACTCCCTGCCCTTGGCTTCTCCAGGCTCAACATCTTCAGTTACCTCAACCCTTCTTTTCATATTGTTAGAGACATTCTCATCATCCCTGGTCACTGTCTTCTAGGCTTACTTATGTTTGTCAAAAGTCATACTGAAACCAGAACAAAATACATTGTTTCAACTGCTTAAAGAACAGAAAAGACAATACCAATCTCTCTTGGTGTGGAGAGTGTCCTGAGAAATGAGTCAAGGTCAGAACACAGTACTATGTCCATATGGTCTCCAACACACATTAGTACTCACACTTCCATCTTGCAATCAGCTATGGCCCTACTGCTTAGAGCCTTGATCATGCTCTTCTCATCTGACACCTGCATTCAGCGTGATTCTGTGGTCCTCCTTAACAAAGTGATCACTGAGACGGGTCTTCCTGCAGCCCCTTCTGTAGAGTAGTTGCTCCAGGAAACACCGGTCTTGGGAAGGTTTCGGCTTACACGGCTGCAGTCTGCTCCGGGCTATGCTCTTGCTCACCATCTCAGGGCCACATTCTCACACTAAATGGGGGAGTTCTCAAAACTGAAATTTAAAAGGAACAGAGGACAAAGTTTACAATATTCTTCTCATCTATTTTCCAGAAGTCTTTTCTTAATTCTCTCCATTCTAAAATTTCTTACTTCAAGTTGATTTATTTGCATTACAATACTCCTTTTTTTTGCAGTCTTTATTATATTTGCTTCTCCCAATCCAAATACGAAGATAAAAGTGTTAAAGTGTCAAAAGTATAGCAGAAGCCAGCCATGGTACATGTCTGCAATCCCAGCTACTTAAGAGACAGAAGTAGAGGATCACAAGTTTAAGTCCAGCCTGAGACATTCTACCTGTCTTTAAATAAAACATTTGTAAAAAGGCTGAGGATGTAATTCAGTCGTAGTTGGCTTGCCTAGCTTGCAGAACACCTGCAAGTTCACACCTCTCAATCCATAAAGACAAAAGTTGTATCCCATCTCTCCACAGAGCCTCCTAATCACCCTTTGTCCCTGGCAATTTCTCCTGCTTCCAGCTTTTGTGCAAGATACTTCAAGATCCTTGAAGCATCTTTGTCTAAAAAATTACAGCTCTGCAGTACAGGATTGCATTGCATTCTCCCTTTGTTTGGGTTAGTGCTAACATTATTGGAAGGCTGAGATCCTTTAATCATCAGGAGCCAGGGGTGCAGTAAGGTCACCTTCAAGGTTGTTCCAACAACAAACTTCCTCAGCCCAGCTGTTCAAAGCAGGTGTCTTTCCACAAACAGGCAATGTTTTAAGGTCATAGACAGCCTTGTGATAATTACAAACAACTGAGTGGAAACTGAAAGGGATGAATAATTCTGGAGGCCAGACTTTGGAATTTCATTTTAATAAAGGCCATTTGGGAACTGGAAGCCTTGGATCTCAGTAAAAAGAAAATAAGATTTGCTCTATTGTGTATGGAGAAAGTCTATACAGGAATATAATAAATAATATTACAGGATGATTTTTAAAACATGAATTGCATTCTTCTTTGAAATTTGGATTGTATATGGAATAATTATAAAGGTTGTGAACATGAAGAACCCCAAGAGTGAACTGGCACTGAAACCTGCATGGTCTACAATATGGACATCAAAATCTGCGGGAAAGAGCTTTGAGACTTGAGTTTCATTTCTAGCTCTTTTCCATATTCTTATAATGGCTCTCAGACCTGAAGGAGACCACTCACTGTGGCTCTGTTTTCTTATATGGCGGCATTCAGTTACATAATATGTAATATCATTTTCAGCTGTAAAATTCTGTTTCTAAGCTATTCCTATTTTAAGAGGAAATAATTTTATTTTTGTTTTCACATATCTTTAATTTTAGACAAACTCATGTCAATAAAGTGAAAAGATAAAGTACTTTAAATAAATCAACCTTTCTCAAGTCTGTATATATACATATCTATTATATACATAAAATACCTATTATCGATGATTTCTGTGTTTGGGGAAATGATTTTTACTTTACTCTTGTTAGTTTTCCTCCCTATTATATCTTTCTACTTTATGAATTTCTAAGACTAGGATATATGAAGTTAAATACAGCTCCTTTAAGAAGTTTAAGTTAAATTCACTTGTTCTTATGACTTTTTTTTGTAGATAGCTTTTTTTTTTTTTTTTCTGCAGAACTGGAGGTTGAACCTAGGATCTCATGCATGCTAAGCAAGTACTCTGCCATTAAACTACATCCCCAGCTTTGTAAATAATAGTTTTCAATAAAAGGTTGGAAAATCATTTTAAGGGATGGAACACTCTCTCTTTGTTCTAGCTTCTTTGTGTGGAGGGTGGCAAGACTTTATAAAAGGAATATTTAATGAACTGCATATTCATGAGTGACATGTATTGTAAACAGCCAAGAACCAAGAATCCTCATCTAAGTTATGAGCCAAAACAAACGATCAGGTCACACCAGTTTGGCTTATACTACCTTGGAAACCACTAGACTCCATTTTCCTGAGCTTAAAGAACCAATTCGCTCTTAGAGAAATAATGAAATTGACTCATGCTTATTAAAATCAAATGAGTAACCAACTAAATCTCTTCTAAATCTCTACATCTGTAGCAAGAGGTAAGTTAAGCTTATTTTTCTTATTAGATTTGTCTATTTAATGGGAAAATTGCACTTGATATCATTGGGAAGTTGTTACTTCTACAAAGTTTCAGTGAAAAAAGCAATCTTAATTATCACAAATCTTAATGTATTGTCTTTCAGCTTTGTGCCATAAAAAATGCCCTTTCTAGATAGGCTTCCAAGAAGTAAATTTGTGTAGTTGTAATGTGATACTGACTTGAGGGCCCTCTGAGTCTTTAGCCAAGGAAGAACTTCTGGCTCAAGCAGTGTTTGGGGTGTGATGTGCAGGACAATGGGGGTGTAGAGGAACAGCCCAGGACCTTTCCGTGACTGATCCTGTGTGGATTGAGAACACCTAAGTTAGTACTTTTCCTCATAGAGGATCTTCTAGGAATGGCAATACATGTGTTCATACAGGAAATTAAAATACTTTGCAAGTGATGTATATGTACAATCCTTGGCTTGTGTGGGTCTTTTTATCTGTTCAGTGTTTCTCTTGGATTCTAGTAATGATAATTTTTTTTAGTACAATGTCATTCACATGAATAAAACCTAAAATTAGATTTAAAATCCTTAAAGTTATGGCTTTTTTGTATATATATTTACAAAAGAAAAACAAAACATCACAAAGCCAATAAAGTAAAAAGTTTAAGTTTAGTGAACAAAAGATACTGCTTTGCTGAAATTAAATCACTCATCATTAAGAGTATCAGCTAGGTTCTTTGAGGCTAGGCCTGATTGTTCCATGAACCAGGTGACACTTTTAACCCTCCACTGATCTCTATTCAAACCACAAACAGGCTTCATTCATGCTGCTCACTCATCCTCGTGACTTCATGTGACTTTTCTTAAAAAACACCCCATCATCGTATGTTGTTTCTCATAGGCCCAGATAATTAGTTCTGGTACTTGGTCCCAGTATATTTTTAAGTACAATATAAACATTTTGTGTGTGTGTGTGTGTGTGTGTGTGTGTGTGCATGCAAAGGGCCAGGTAGCAAATATTGTCAGCTTTGAGTGTCATACTGTTTCTGTAACAACTACTCAACTCTGCAGTTGTACTATGAAAGCAGTGATAAATAATAAAGGAGTTGTCATGGTTGTGTCTCAAGAAACCTTATTTACAAAATAGGAGGTGGACTTGTTTGGCCTGAGTGCTGTGCAGTTTGCTGAATCTTCATAAAAGTGAGGGTAGAGATGCTAAAATCTTCTGGCAGTCCATGGTTATGAGCTGGTCATCCAGTATTTGTGTGTGTGTGTGTGTGTGTGTGTGTGTGTGTGTGTGCACGCGTATGTGTGTTTTACAATGATACACTTACAAGCCACCCATAAGTCCTTGTGAATATGATAAAGAACCCTCAGGGGGCCACAGATCCTGGGTTTAAAAATACAGTTTTAGGGATTTTCCAAGTAAGCAGTTGCCTTTTTAAAGGCAGAAATTAAAATGCCTTCCATCCAAACAGGGAGGTAAAGGGCTTGCAAGGGACTCAGGTAGAAAGAAGCCCATGAGAAGAAATAATTTAAAGGTTGAATGATTTGTGTGCAAGGTAAGACAGAGCTATGGATCAATCAATGAACCCAGCACTGCAAAGGGAGCCAGAGAGTAGCCATGTAGGACCTGGTTTCTGCTGCAGATTTTTAGATTTGAATGAGTCTTCTAACTTTCTGAGCTTTGGTTTCTCATCACTGACTTGGGGTGGTACCACACATACGCTTACTGAGAGAACGGAAGTGAAGGTTGCACTTGATGATGTGAACTGCTTCAGAGGTAATCAAGTGCTGCCATTTCTATAATTTTTACATGTAGAATTCTGACTTTAATTGCATTCACAGTGCTTTACAACCATCTTCAAAATTTTCACTGCCCCAACAGAAACCCTACAAACATTAAACAATAAATTCCTTTTTTTTTTTTTTCTGATTTTCCAGCCCTTGGCAACATCTAAACTACTTTCTATGTCTATAAATTTGTCATTTTCCTAAATGATATCTGAATACCTTTTCATGTGATTATTTGCTATTTTGTGTATCTTTCTTGGAGAACTGTCTACTCAACTTTTTTACCCACTTTTAATTTGGTAAGTATTTTTGTTGCTATATTATTAGTATTCATTACAGGTGAGGATATTAAGCCCCTATCAGATATATAATTTACAAATATTTTCTCTAATTTTACAGCTGTCTTTTCACTTTCTTGATAATGTTCTTTGTTGCACAAAACTTTTCAATCTTGATAAAATCAGATTTTTTTTCCTTTTGTTGCCCATACTTTCGGCACTAAAATTCTATAACTAAATAATAGAAGGTAATGAAGGTAATTTGTCCCTATGTTTTCTTCTAAGAGCTTTATAGATTTAGCTTTTATATTTTTATTATATATTCTGAAATAATTTTTGTAAATGGTGTGATGCAAGAATCCAACTTTATTCTTGTACATATGGAAGGGAAGCTGTCCCAGTAGCTTCTCCCTGCTCCCACTTCTAGATCAAATATTTGGGAGAAATTTACAATTTAAAAATTTATTCCTGGTATTGGGAATATTGAACATTTTACTTTGTGGAAATGTTTTATTTATTATTTTATTATTTATATTTATTATTTTATTTTCCACACTAATCTACTGTGAAGTAAGCTGTTACTTCATAATATAAAGTTATAGTGGAATTAGTACATCAGAATTTGTAAGTGGAGGGTCCGGGGTGTTCTCAGTGATTCAGTGCTTGTTTAAGATACCTGAGACACTGGGTTTGATTCCTAGCACCACCAAAAACAAAGAAAAAATTGACAAGTGGAAACTCTTTTTTAAAAAACTAGGAGTGATCTGTGGCAATTTAAGACGTGGATAATGACCCTTATCAAAAATAAAGTCAGGGCCAGGCATGGTGGCGCATGCCTGTAATCCCAGCACTCGGGAGGCTGAGGCAGGAGGATTGCTGTGAGTTCGAGACCAGCCTGGGCTACATAGTAAGTTCCAGGTCAGTCTCAACTACATAGTGAGACCCTGTCTCAAAAAACCAAAAAAAAAAAAAAAAAAAAGTCAGAATTATTAATATTAAGTCATAAAGACACTGAGCTAATAGCTTCACTGTTTTCAAATGTTTAAAGGTCTGTTATATGGAGATTCCTTACTATTACTCATCTCACTAGAAGAAAACTAGAGAAAATGTGAATTTCATTTGTATTAAATACATTTCATCTTTTTTTCTTTTTTACAGTGCTGGAATTGAACCCACAGCCTTCATACATGCTAGGGAAGTACTGTATCACTGAGCTACAAAACCCAACCCCTTACTTAATGCAAATTAATTATGTGCAATTAAATTAGTGTGTATTAAATTTATAAAATGGCAAGGCTTCAACTTTCCAATGGCAAAAAAATGATAATGCATATTACATGCTACCATGTGTCACTACTGTTTTGAGGTCTTTATACGTATTAACTCATAAAAGCCCCACAAGCCCCATGCCATAGGTTCCATTACCATTTCCATTGAGCTTGGTCTTAACCCCAAGGAGTCCAACACTGTGCCTAGGCTTCTAACCCACTATGCTGAACCATTTTAGTTAAAAGTGAATAAACATTAGTACCCATCTCCAGCAGGAGCAAAGCCTTTCTTTCTCCATCAGCATGGAATCTGAAAACAGAAAGGACATGTATGATTCAAAAGAAAGTTGTAATCCTGAGAAGCTGATGGCACCACCTATTTGATTCTAGTCAAAGATTTCTTTATTTTTCATTATTTTTCTTTTAGCAGTGCAGTCTGGGTCTAGTCTTACCTTCTTTCTCAAAGATGTTCAACATGATATTTTCAAATGTTTTGGAACATTACATAAATATCTTCTTGAGTAATACAGACAAATGCTCAGTGATAGGCCACTAGGAAACATAATACTTGTTTGTGCTTTTTAATCTTTAAGGTTTTGTTTTAATAATTCAAAAAGACATTAACTGTTCAGGTAGATTAAGAATATGTTTTATTTAATACAATTTTGTTTATATTCTGAAAACCAAGGACACAGAAGTATTCATTCTCTTCTGAATAGAGAGGGCATTGTGTACATGTATTATTTTTCTGTCTGAACATACCTCTTAACCTAATCCATCTTTTCAGGACTCTAGTGTGTGGGCTTGCTCAATATTGTTCCCTTTGTAGGAGATAATGTAACTCACTTTAAAAAGTATGCTTTTTTAATAATATTCCAATTTTCTTTACCCCCTGGCTCTCCTCAGAGATCCTCTTTTGGTGGAGTCTTTTTCCATGATCCTCTTTTGGTGGAGTCTATGGAGAAAACAAAATGTAATTAATGATTTAAACAGGAAATAAGACTTGAAAAGGCAACGTCTTCACATGAGAAATCACAAAGTGATTCGTGACAGGCCTAGAGCTCTAGCCCACATCTTCTGGGTTATGGTAGAAAGTAAAAAGCAGTGATTCTTAACTAGGAAAATTTTGCCCCCTCTTCCCAGGGTACACTTGGAAATATGTGAGGATGCTCTTGTTTGTCATAAATGGTAGAGAGCGGACAGGTTACTATTGGCAGCTGGTGGTTAGGGATGCTGCTAAACATCCTACAGTGCAAATAAAAGCTGATGAAACAAAGCACTATCCTGCCCAAGGTGGCAGTGCTGTCAATGTGAAGAAACCTTGATCTGGAGTAATGGAAATAGACTTCAGCTCTGCTCTGCATCTTTGTGAACTTGGGAAAGTGGCTTCAGTTTTCAGACCCTGCTTTCTCATTTGAAAGAACAAAACTTCTATCCCCATAAAACAAACAAACATACTTTCCAGGTGGTTGTGAGAAACCAATTCAAAATGACTGAACATTGATGGGTATATAATGGACCCAATAAGTAAAAACTGGGGTCCATACTACCAAGTTTAGTCATAGACAATTTGAAAGAAAACTTTCAGAAATACACTGTCACTGAAATAAAAAAAGAAGGCTCTTCAGCTTCCTCTCAGCTTTTACAGAGAAAAAAGCAAGAGATGGAAAGATGTGTAAAAGAACTAAATAGCACTGAGTATACACTAGGAAGACAGGGGAGGAAAAAAGACTAGAAATGGAAAGTAGTGAGGGGGTTGTATAGATGAGAGATTCTGGCAGTGGATTACAGATGAGTTTAGGAGATATTTACAGGGAATCAGAAGAACTTGATGGGTGATTTAAGAAAGGATCATGAGAAAGGAGTCTAGGGTGAATATGAGATTTTTTTACTTGAGTGCTTTATTGTTAGTGAGACCATCAACAGAATAATGAAATCAGAGGGCAGGAAACAAAATAAATTCAGTGTAGACATAGCAAGTTTGGGGTGCCTGTGGGATATATAGATGATAATCAAGAAGTAACGGGATACAGAATTCTGAGGAGGAGCCAAAGATTTTGGTCATGAGACTGAAAGAATTAGCTGAATCCATAGAATGAACATTTTCCAGGAAAAAAATACGAAGTGAAGAAAAAATAGCAGAGAAGAGAACTTTAAAGAGCTGGACAAAGAAAACTAATGAAACAATCAAGGGGAGCAGAACAACAGGAAGATAACGGAGAGTAGTAAGGCTGAGTTTCAAGAATAAAACTGCAGCAACAGTGTTAAATGTCTTGGAAAATTTAAGTGATATCCAAAGCTTTAGAAGATTTGATAGCTGAGTGGTAGTATGAACTTTAGCATAAGAACAGTGCTGAGCAGAAAAATTAGATGTAATGAATTGAAGGATAACCAATCATCAAAGAAGTAGAAATAAGGAATAAAGGAAGGGATGTTGTCAGAATGATAAACTATGAAGATTCCCTTATCCTAACTAAAAATAGACAACAGAAGCTTATTTGTATGCCAAGAGGAAGGAAACACATAGAATATGGAATAGAGAAAACAGGTAAGAGTGTGATATAATGCTGAAATGGTTATTTTGAGGCAAGAAGAAGGAAACCTCTTCCTCTGAACTAGGTAAAGAGAGTAAGCTGAGTGTGGATGTAAGTCTGGCTGGTGAAGAAAGCAAAAGTTTGAGATAGCTCATGCTGGGAGCATCACGTTTTACCATCAAAATGTAGACAAACTCAGTAGTGTGGGATAAGGAAGTAAGAGAAGGGAGGGTCGGGGGGAATCACCCTCAAGGACAGAGGTATTAAAAATCTGGAGAAAGAAAGTAAAGACTACAACTTCAACATCAAGTCATATGACAGACATCTCAAAGTACCAGGGTAACCTAGGGATTCATATCTAGTTCTTTCCATAGCCATCCACTTTGAGAGAGAAGCAATACACTAGAAAGATTTTGCCAACCAGAATAGAATTGACAATGGATTAAGTGTGGGTACGGGGGCTGGGGTGGGGCAGCAAACTAAATTCCAAATTAAAGTAGGCTGGGATCAAGTATGTCCATAGACGTGCGTCATCCCCTTTTAGAGATTTAGATTATGTCTTCTTCAAAAAGTTGAAATTATCAATGGAATAGAAACAAATTAATCATGATTACATCATTCTCTTTTACAGAATCTTGCCTGCTTGTGAGACTGTCATGAGTTGGATGATTCTCAGAGACCTCCTAAGTGGAGCAAATAAATACTCAACTGGGATTGGGCGTAATTGGCTGGCCATTGTATTCATCTTTCGTTTGCTGGTCTACATAGTGGCAGCAGAACACGTGTGGAAGGATGAACAGAAAGAGTTTGAATGCAACATTAGACAGCCTGGTTGTGAAAATGTGTGTTTTGATTACTTCTTCCCCATTTCCCAGGTCAGACTTTGGTCCTTACAGCTGATCATGGTATCCACACCTTCTCTCTTGGTGGTTCTTCATGTGGCCTATCATGAGAGTAGAGAGAAAAGGCACAGAAAAAAGCTCTCTGCTAGCCCAGGCATCATGCATGGGGGCCTGTGGTACACCTATCTGATCAGCCTCATTGTTAAAAATGGTTTTGAAATTGGCTTCCTTGTTTTATTTTATAAACTGTATGATGGCTTTAGTGTTCCCTATCTTATGAAGTGTGATTTGAAGCCTTGTCCCAACACTGTCGATTGCTTCATCTCCAAACCCACGGAGAAAACCATTTTCACCTTTTTCTTGGTCATCACCTCGTGTTTGTGCACTGTGTTGAATTTCATGGAACTAAGCCTTTTGGTTCTCAGGTGCTTTATTAAGTGCTGTCTCCAAAAATATTCCAAAACATTCAAGTCCTCAGTGTGCGAGTGTCACAATCTCAAGTATGTTGAATGTAGTGAGATAGGGGCTCCTCGATTATTCCAGATCCATTGCTCAAGCTTTGATGAAAGTGTACCCCAAAAACCTGAAGCAAGGCTACTTTGCAACACACAAAAGGATTAAACAAAGATAATCTGTTCCCTACCTTAGCAAGAGCTAACCAGGCTTTATTGGTTGTAGGGCTTTATTACGTGGATATACAAGTTGTTTCTTGATTAATTGCAAATTAAACAAATACAATTAATGGTATTCTTTCAAGAGTTTAGAGGTCAGAAATGATAAATTTTCTGTTTTTTTGTAACTCATTATAATTCATGCCAGTGAACTCAACAGTATAAAAAGTGACCCTTCTGACAAATACAGTGGCCTCCAAATTGCCACGGAGGCTGTAGTAATCTTTCCAAAGTGGCAGCCAAAGTTCTTTGGATGCAGTAGAGCAGCAATCTGGGGGCACACAGGACACATACAGTGTGAAAGCCCAGATTTCAGAAAAGACTGAGAACCCAGGAATCTGCAGTTTAGATATTATGTTTGTGGACTCAGGGAAAGGGAAGAAAGCCATCATTTAAGTAGTCTCTAAATTAAATGCAAATACTACTGAGATATTGTACTTAAGTCTGAACCAGCAGGACTCACGAAGGAAGGGATGTCCTACAAAAAGTAGCACATTGATAGCAGAGGAGGCATAGAAAAATAATTTGTCTACTTAATAGTCACTTAGCACTTTTCTTTAACCATAAAAACATTGAAATGCTTTGTAAGTTTTCATATTGCTAGATCTTTCTATAATCAGGAATTAATAATATATTATAAACCTAACACGATTCAACTAAGTTGCCTACAATTCAATAGTACCTCTATCTGTAATGAGAACATGTGTATTATGTTACAGTGGAACAAACAATATTTTAAAAGTTTACTATAACTTGTGTTGAAAACTGGAACTTTCTTTTACTTTTCTATTAAAAAAAAAAACCCTCACAGTGTCTCTTTGGACTTAAAACTCCAACGTGGAAGTGTTTCTCCAGAATAAAATGCTATTTTGTGTTGCTATTTGGCTGTCACTCATATCTTTACTTGGCTGAACTGAGTATAATTATTCTGTGGAATGAAACTTGTTCTGACAATTTTAAAACAAGATTTTCAACACTGCTTGGTAAAGATAACTAGAAATTATTCCCCCCTGGGAATTTCTTAACAGAAAGTCAGTATAAAATGATTATTCATGTCTTCCATGCCCCACCCTTGGAATAAAATATCTCATCCCAATTAATGTACAATGAAGGTTATTTGGGCCACTATGTAGTCTACAGACCATGTCACCAATAGTAGTCATAATCTGTCTTAAAAGGCTGTCCTGGACCGCAGAAAGGTGAACTTTGTGGTTTCCCCCTTTCTTCAATACCAGTGATTAATACCACAATTAAATCCAGTACCAAGAGCTTACAACCATGTACTTTGCCATTTAACATGCAAATATCTAGCTCTTACAAATGCAGGTAACTATGGAATTAAAGAAAAAAAACACTAATAGGTGGCTAAAGAGGTTTAAGGTTTTTGAGACCTGGACCTGGTATGGAACCTAGAAGGCAGAACGGAAAGGAGAAAAGGGACTTTTTAAGTCTGAGGATGTTTGCTGCCAAAAATGTCTTTGGGACTTCAGCCTATTCTCATCACTTACTACAAGCTGTGTACCAGCTAACAGGGTCAATAGCTTAACATCAGGTACATTCTTTGCTTTTTCTACTCTGTAAAGAGAAGAAACTGAAAGGTAATGAGAATAAGGAAAATGGAAATGACTATGTTTAAATATGAAGGTGAGTCATTTCCATTCAGCTTCTTGGTACTACCTTACCAAATGAGCTTCCTGCAAGAACATTCTGAAGGCTGTCTCACTGGTGGTAAATTGTCAGTTCATTTATGCCATGTTTATCTTATCAATAAATTAGCATTTATGGAGCACCAGGGAGCATGACACTGTGCTATGCACTTTCTGAGATATAATACTTAATTCCCTAATCAAGAAAATATCCACTTCCACTAAAAAGCATGTAGGTGCAGATGGGTGAAGTGGGTTTCTTGACTGCTTAGCACTTGCCCCCTCAATCTTTCTGACCTTACCCCTGACCACAGGATTTCTTCCAATTGGATTTGGTGGGAAAATGTTTCCCATGCTTGTACAAAAGGAACGTCCATAGCTGTAAATGGAATCTTTCCAGTTTTCCTGAAGAAATGAAGCCAGTGCACAAAGACAATGAAGTTGAGAAGTGGGGAAAAGGCATAGACCTAACATATTTGATTTCTTCAATTCTGTTGACCCCAAGACTGGCTCCATTATTACCCTTATTTGAAAGGTAAAATTTTTTTGCATAAGCTGGTTCAAGTTAGATTTTTCTGTCTTCCAATAGTCAGTCCTATTAAAACCCCCTTTCTTCATAAATTGCATTTTTTTTTACCCTAGGAAAAAGAGGTAAGATACATCTCTTATATCCATCCTGAGAATTGCTCACAGACACATCTTGTTTCACTGTACCTATTCTGATAATTTTTTAAAATACTATGATGTCATGTGGAGGTAGCCATGTGACTATTTTCTCACTAAAGCAACAAGAGATATTTTGGCTCGTGATTTGGTAAAAATTAGTTAAAACAAGGGCTGACCTAGCTTGCAGGCCCTACTCCTGCCTGAGACATCACTGTTACTATTGTAGGGAACATTTTTCTGTCCTCAGGTACCTTTGAGGATGGAAGCAAGACTTCATAAAGGAGTAGAAAAATAGGCTCCTGGGATAGTGATAGCATTATGGAATTGTCATATCACACTGAACTGTGTATTTCCAATTGGCTTTTGTTATGGTGGGACTTAACTCTTACCTAAGTCACTATTTGTTTCTTTTACTTACAGCCAAAATCACTTCCTAATTTCTTTCATGTTAGTTACAAAGATGAAGATGCAGAAGGCATTCTTGTATCTACTGAAAACACAAGAAATGGCCAATATGTAGAATGGCAAAGTGAAGTCAGGTGAAATCATTTTGCATCAATCATTTCAATATGAGACCAGGACTGATATTATTTCACAATATAATGCCCTTGGAATTTTAACTTCTCATCACCTAAAATGAGCAAAGTACAGTATGAAACAACTTTTAAAAAGCCCAGTTTAAGCCTGTATTCATTTATATCCAGACTACAGGAACTTACCTTTCCAATGCTCGAAAGACACATAGCTTATTTTCCATTCCAGAGTTGCAATGGATAGAAACTGGGACCAACAGGTGAATGAGTTTTGATTTTTTAAACCTAATATAAGAACATTCTTTTAATTTGAACTACTTCAATGAAATGATCACCCAATAAAATAGTGAGATCCCTCACACTGAAAGGAATGTTGAGTATTTCTGGGTTGTGCTGAAGGTATAGTTAGGTAATTTTCTTCAAGTCTGGTTTTAAAAGCACGATGGCAATATGAGACTTTGTATAACATTACATTAACCAAGTTCATCCAAAAACATTTAATGAAAATATCCTTAAAGAACAAATTTCATGTATAAAAAAATCTCATTATAGAAAACAATTTAGGCAATTTCATAGAATCAGTTATAATAAGATTTATAGTCTTTAAAATGATTTCATTCTTTTCTTCACTTTGAGAAATTCTATTTCAAGATTTTGTTAAAATACTTATTCCAGAGAGCAAAATACAATGCAAATGGGAAAAGTAATATCTATACAATAGGATTATTGTACAGATTAAATGAGATGACCCATGCAAAGCAATAACACAGGCAGATTATTCGACTATAATAGTACTCAAGATCCTAATGGGATAATTAACAATGTGAAATAGGAAGAAAAGGGCTAAAGGTGTAGTGAAAGTGGGAAGGGTAGGGGAAGGGGAATAAGGGAAAAGAAAAAAATGTGAGACAATGAAAAAATGGAATTAAAGTGTTTGTAAATGGGGAGGGGAGGAGGGGGTGAAGGGAGGGTAGGGAAAGGAGAAAAAATGAGAACCAAGACCTGTCATGTGAAGGTACAAGATCCCAGTAATGAATGTAACTGTACTGTATACCTAGAATGTACCAATAAACTCAATTTAAAAAAAGCAAACACACAAAAAATGTTAGGCATTATAAATTAATAATATATGGTTTATTTTATCACTTATTCATATATTATTTGCTTATATATTTGTATGTCTCTCTAAATTGTAACCATCTTGAATGCAGACAAGAACCACATCTATCACTGTTTTACCTTCAGGGCTCAATCCACAGTGGGTTGATCAGCAACAATAAACATATTCCTAAACCTTACAGTATAATGACATTGTATAAACTAAGAAATCATAATATTCTGGAATTGAAAGAAATCTTAAAAATACTTACATGAGACAGCTGCAATCTAAAATGATGAACTCCAAATCTTCTAGAAATTTCCTATACAGAATCATTTCAGAGACTTTTGCAATACTGACAACTCCTTAATGCAATGACCAACTGTGCTACATGCGCTACATTTATTAGATAACTAAATATGTATAATGACTACAAAGTGTCCCTAGCTTATTTCCATTATGAAGGTTGTGATATTTGTTCTTAAATGGGTTGATAGCTAATGTGTCACAGACGCCTCATTTTAAAAATTATATGACTGTTCAATTTACCATTATGTACTCAAAAATACGTGACTACCACATATTAGCCCATCTCTTATAATGTATATGTAAAAATGGAAAGTAATCTCTGCTTTAATATCTAGACCCTAAGTATACATACACATTTCCAGGGTTAGCATGCCATCTTGTGGCTTCCTTTTCCTGTGCAATGCAGTATGGTACCACCATATAAGGTAAGGCCTAATTCATTCTCTCTCTCTTGCTTCACACATGTGCACCTGTGCGTGCACACATACACACACAAACTTTCAAACTGATTTATACATAGCATGTAGGTTAACTGTCCTTTTAATTTCATCACCAGACCAACTTTATTCTAGTAAAAGCTGAAAAACCTTAAGTCAGAAAGACAAATGCTGGAAGCTACAAGAAAATCACCTAAAAATATGTTCTGAGGACAGGTGCTTAAAAAAACAATATTTATTGAATAGATAATGCATACACA